GCGACGAGCGAGGCGACATGCGATCCCACACATGGTGGTGTTCCTTCTGTACTCGGCAAACCAGTGACCTTCAGCCACTTCCTGGTAGCGCTTTCTGCCCAGCACCCGCTGACCCCCGCCCTTGGGATCCTGGCAGCTGCCTGCTGACAATGCCGGCACGTGGACTGCCGTTGGGGCCGTGGTCCACCTGTCCTAGTTGGCCCTTGGCCCTGTTGTAGCTGTTTTCACCACAATCGGCGCACTCCGCCCCCCGCGCCCACAGGCAGCCGCCCCGCGCCGAGCGGTTTCGCTCCCCGCGTAAGGACAGCCCTGCCTCATTCCTTCCTGGTCCCCCCAGGTGGCTGGGCGTCGCAGCGGCTCTGTCAGCTCTGGCCCTTAGTCCCCCCAGCTCCCTTGGCCCAGCCCCATCGTGGGCGCATGGAGTCCCTGAGTGCACGTGGTTCAGCCTGTGCTCTCCTGGCTGTCGGATGACTGCGTTGACTACGTCCACGGTTCCTGGCGGCGATGCCCACGGCACTCTCGTGTTCACTCGACCCCGTGCTTGAGACGTGGATTGCCCTGGTCCTGGTCAGCTCTCAGACGTCGGCGCTCCTGTTCGAGAGTGCGCTCGGCTTTTCCTGATCCGGTGGTTCAGGCGTGTTACGGTGTCGATTACATTCATCGTTTCCCCGGCTATTCCGCTCGACCTCCCGGGATCACCCCGTGGACGGTTGCATGCAGGATCAGCACTCCCTGCAGGAGTCTCGGTGTGCGACTTTGGCGGCGCCACCCTATGCACCAGTTTTGGGCCAGTTTGATCTCCTGGCAGCTGTCGCAGTGTACTGTTGGTTGCCTTCCTGGCCACATCCTGGTACCACCCCCGCGCCATTTTGGCTGCGCTTCAACCCTGGTTGTTTAATCGTGCATGTGCGCGCTCTTGGACATGGTCCCTGGCAGCTGCAGCCCGCACCCCCTCTCACGCCGGCCCGCCCGCTTTGGCGCTGCTTAGGTCGCCGGCCCGTCGGCGTTAGTCAATTCGGCTCTTGCGCGGCCCGCTCGGACCTTACTCGCCACTGGCGCTCTCGCATGCGGCTGCGACGCAAAAAGTAATCATCCCCACCAACCCATCCAGAAACGATGCCCCGGGGAGTTGAGCTGATCAGAAAAGTGGGGGAGCATGCAGAAGAACGACGGGCGGGGGAAGCCGTCATATACCCCAAGAGGGGGAGGATGGAGTCGTCGTCGTCGTCGTCGTCGTCGGAGGAGGAGGAGGAGGAGGAGGAGGAGGAGGAGGAGGAGGAGGAGGAGGAGGAGGAGGAGGAGGAGGATGAAGAGGAGGAGGAGGAGGTGGAGGAGGAGGTGGAGTAGGGCGAGGGCGAGGCGGACGAGAAGGCGGAAAAGGAGGAGAAGACGGGAGAGTTGGGTACCTCGGGGATCCTCTTGAAGCCTCGTATGGGGTCTCTTGGGAGCCTCTTGGAGGCCTCTTGGCGCCTCGTGGGGCCCTCTTGGGGCGCTCTTGGGAGCCTCAGGGGCGCTCTGTTGGGGCCATGTTGGAAGACATCGATCAAAAAAGAGGGGGAACTTCAATTAGCATCACCCCTGGGAAACACCCAACACCGTCTCCTGGACCCCTTTTGGAGCGCTCTTGGGGCGCTGTTGGGCGTTCATGGGGCCGTCTTGGTTGGAGTTCCCTTGGGCCTCTCCTGGGGCTCTCTCGGGTCATCTTGGAGCCATCTTGAGGCCTCGGAGGGCCATCGGAAGCGAACAGGCGAGAAACGCACAATTCATTGATTTCCTTAAGGTGTTTGAAGGATTTTGGCTTCTTGGGGGCCTCATTGGAGGTCTCGGAGGCCTCTTGGAGCCGTCTTGAAACGTTAGTGGGGCCGTTTGGTGCATCTTGGGTTCCATCTTGTGGCATCGCGCGCTAAGCCATCTTGGAGCTCCTCTGGGACTTTCAGGGGGCCACTTGGAGCCGTCTTGGGCCATCTTGGACGCTCAAACCCTTCACCGGCCCCCCCCCCTCGTCCAGGTCCAGGGGAGTGGGTAGGGGGTGCGCTCGCGTCATATCTGACGTTCTAACTCCCCCTCCTCCCATACCTTACCATCGCGTAGATCTCCTCTCTATTCGCAAGGTCGGATGTCGTAGCAGGGCATAGCATGGTATTGGAGATCAACGCGTAGCCTGACATGGCGTGGCGTGGTGACGCCCCAAAGTGGAGGTCTTCTGCGGCCAAAGAAATCAACGAATCGCCACCACATGTGTAATCACTTCCGAAGGTTGTTTCGGGGGGGACATTTTCCAGAGTGTGGGGCCTATTTGGAAGGACCGAAAAGCACACCGTGGCATGGCGCTGGAAATGATGACGCCAGCCCTGCAGCGGGAGCACGATTCGGAACGAGCGGAAGCGCGGAAATGAGGCCAGCTTTGCAGCGGGAGCACGATTCGGAGGATGCGTAGCCGGACACAGCATGGCGTGGCGACGCCCCAAAGTGGTGTGGGGGGGGGGGGCTTCTGCGACACCAGAAATCAACGAATCGACACCGAATGTGTAATCGCTTCCGATGGGTTTTCGGCGGGGCATTTTCTAGAGTTTGGGGCCTACTTGGAAGGACAGAGAACCATGCCGTGGCATGGCGTTGGAACTAATGACGCCAGCGTTGCAGCGGGAACACGAATCGGAACGAGCGGAAGCGCGGAAACGAGGCCAGCGCTGCAGCGGGAGCACGATTCGGAACGGGCGGTAGCCCGAAAATGAGGCCAGCGCTGCAGCGAGAGCAGCATTTTGCAAACAACAACAACAACAACAACAACAACAACAACAACAACAACAACAACAACAACAACAATTACTAGCACGTGGGGACACACCGTTCTCACCAGTGCCAGGGTTTTCATAGGAGGCGGGCAATACCCCCACTTTGTGGGGGGGCCGGTTCAAGCTCTACCAAATTTCCAAACGACTCTTCGCCACCACCCACACCCAGCTTCCCGCCCTATGACGTTCGGACACTTCACTTCGTGGCATGCGGACGACCGTGGCTACTATTCAGGGCCCCGCGGCCGACGACGACGGCGTGCGCGCGCGAAGAAAAAACGAATGTGTCCCGCATGGTATTATTTGACAGGGATGATGGCCCTGGCAGGTGCGCAACCGTTGTTGCAGAAGTTCGAAAAAGTTGCTCGCAAAAGCCCGTTTGACAGAAATGTTTAAAAAGTGTTGGGTTTCCTACGAATCCGCAAGAGCGCGCGGGATGAAATTTTGACATTTTTTTTGAAAAACCATTGGTTTTTTGATGTTTTTATGTTAAAATCGCTACGAACACTAAGGTTTTGGAAGGATTTCGTCTTGCGCGCGCGAATGTCCACTTTACCTTATTTTTTGCAAGGGATTCTTGAAATTTGGTTATGTTAGAACAAGAAATGTCCACTTTAGCTTATTTTTTGCAAGGGAAAACCGATCGTAACAACACAACCGGATCCGGACCAACCCGTTTTGCCTGAGACTTCCTCACGAAAATGATGAAAATGAGGCTGCGGCCTAGGCGGCGCGGCGGGGGGTCGTGCACCAGGGGCCCCCAACAATAATTATTCTTTAGAATAATAATGTTCAACAACAACAATTACTAGCACGTGGGGACACTCCGTTCTCACCAGTGCCAGGGTTTTCATAGGAGGCGGGCAATACCCCCACTTTGTGGGGGGGCCGGTTCAAGCTCTACCAAATTTCCAAACGACTCTTCGCCACCACCCACACCCAGCTTCCCGCCCTATGACGTTCGGACACTTCACTTCGTGGCATGCGGACGACCGTGGCTACTATTCAGGGCCCCGCGGCCGACGACGACGGCGTGCGCGCGCGAAGAAAAAACGAATGTGTCCCGCATGGTATTATTTGACAGGGATGATGGCCCTGGCAGGTGCGCAACCGTTGTTGCAGAAGTTCGAAAAAGTTGCTCGCAAAAGCCCGTTTGACAGAAATGTTTAAAAAGTGTTGGGTTTCCTACGAATCCGCAAGAGCGCGCGGGATGAAATTTTGACATTTTTTTTTGAAAAACCATTGGTTTTTTTGATGTTTTTATGTTAAAATCGCTACGAAAACTAAGGTTTTGGAAGGATTTCGTCTTGCGCGCGCGAATGTCCACTTTACCTTATTTGTTGCAAGGGATTCTTGAAATTTGGATATGTTAGAACAAGAAATGTCCACTTTAGCTTTTTTTTTTGCATAGGAAAACCGATCGTAACAACACAACCGGATCCGGACCAACCCGTTTTGCCTGAGACTTCCTCACGAAAATGATGAAAACGTGGCTGCGGCCTAGGCGCGGCGGGGGGGTCGCGCACCAGGGGTCCCAACAATAATTATTCTTAAGAAGAAATAATGTTCAACAACAACAAAGCGAAAACCCATCTCCCAGGAATCCTCTGTGTAACAAACCAGCACGCGAAGAGTGGCCGAATATTTCCCGGACGTCACCAGGGGAGAGAGGAGAGTAGCATTCAGATTGTGTAATTGTTGAGGGGTAAACTCCTGCCCGAAGGGGAAGAAGGGGTTGGAAGAGAAGCCGCCCCAGACCACGTACGCCCTAAAGGCAGTCAAGGGCCCTCGCCCACCCAGCACACCCTTGTCTCGGCGCAGCTGCGCCAGGCTCTCGGAGCCATGGTGGTCGCAGAGCTTATCTTTCCCAGCGGCGCACCTGCAGGTGCAGTCGGGGGCCGGCCCAGCCCACGATTGCTGTCTTGCCGTCTATGCCCTCCCCTTCCATCTGCATCCCCCCCTTCGCGTCCTCGCTGCAAGTCCTGCTGAGATTCTGGGCGAGGTTCGTCTACAACCTTCTTAGTGTTGCGCCGAGGTCTTGGCCCGAGATCATGACTAGGCAGAAGAATAAGAAGGGGGCTCGTTGCCAAAGCAGATGTTGGCATGTGTTGGCAGGTCTGACGCAATTCCAGACGTCCCAGATCGCCAGCTAGAGAAGCCCTTTTACTGTCGACGCCTGACTTCCCACACCCTGCGTCCTGGCAGGAGGGCCGGGTTGTGATCGACCTGAAGCCAAACACCTGGATCCCGGTCGAGATACAGGCGCAGATGCTCCGGCCGCGGAAGATGCAGCCGGTGGATCAAAGGCAAGCACGGAGCCCGTTCCACAACGGGGCCCCTCGCGTACTGACGCCGGGCCGCCTGTACGACCAGTACAGCCAGTATCCCAGCCGCCAGGCCCAGGGTTGGGTGGGGAGGGAAGCGCGGGGAGAGGGGGGGAGGAGGGGCGATCGCCAGGCAAGGCACTTCGGGGGGCCCTCTTGGGGGCCTGTTCGGCCGTCTCTGGCAGCCTTGGGGGTCTTCTTGGACCGTCGCGGAGCTTTCTTCGGAGCCTCCTGGGCCAAGGTGAGCCTGAGTTTGAGTGTATCGAATCGATCTCAGCGAGAGTGGTCTGAGTACTTGTGAGCCTGAGTACGAGTATGACTGGCCTGAGCGTAGGCAAGACAAGTCGGGAGGGAGACCGAGGCGGAGAGGTCCCAGCAATAACAAGAATCCTTCTCACTCATCTTCGGAGGTGGGGAATCAGAAGATTACCTGGGGCTGTCCCCTCAACCAAAAAGCACCCTGAGATGTTCCTACCAGACATCCGACGGCGAGATTTTCAATGCACGGCCTCAAAGGTCCTGACCCCTTCCCCGTGAGTCGTTTTTCGTCTCGGTTGCATGATTGATGCTCACGGTGCCCAGAAACGGCTTTCGGAGGCCGAAGCCCAGGAAGAATGTCTTGATCGGAAGCGAATCATACCGTCGGCGAGCTGGGATCGTCGTGATTTTATTCGCAACGTGGACCTTTGGAGGTCTAGATCCCTGGACCGGCTTTTCCATCCTGCGTCGTTTTTTTGTTGACGGCCCTGGGGCCCAGCGAGGCCCCCCGGAGGCAGAAAACAGCTACGCAGATGTCCGTCATGTTTTTCTTCACGACGCGTCGCCGACTGCGGAGCGCGCTTCCTCGCCCGGATTTTGATCCGCCGCATTTTGGGGGATGTCGTAATTCAGTAGGGCGGAAATTCTCCCCCTGCTGTCCAAGCGTCTCTGATGGCGATGTCCGCCATTCTTGGCCGTCGATGTTTCCGCCATATTTTTGCTACAACGGAAATTTCCGCCCTACTTTTTCGCATCGTTTGGGGTACATTTTAGAACTGTTTGATACCGTGTTTGTCCAGGGAGAGGTTGCTGTTCACGTCACGATTCGCGCCGCCGCTGTCTGTGAATTGCCAGGACTGGCAAATTCCCACACGGCGCCGGCCCGAATCCTGACACGACCAGAGGGGGAGAGGGGAGGGGGGAGGAGGCGGGGTCGGTTAGAGGCGTTATCGCGAATAAGTAAGACAGGGCTTATGTCGGGCGTGTCCCTCTACAGGGGGATTGTCGACGAAAGATAAACAAATACACCAACAATGCACCAAAAAGGCCAACAAATATTCAAAAAATAGTCCCCAGACTATTTCCCAGCCCTCCTGCGTTGGGTTCTCGTTTTGAATAGAGCACTGCTCGCGCGTCTCCTCCCTTCCTTCCCGTCCCTCTCTTCCCCCCTGCCTTTGACCTCGCCATCCTTGGGGGGCTGCGATCTGTGAAACTGTCGCCACTTTCGAGGGCTGCTGGGGGGCCCAGCAAAGTGGGTACACACCGCAGATTCAAATTAGACCTCGCCATCCCTGGGGGGCTGCGATCTGGAAACTGTCGCCACTTTCGAGGCCTGCTGGGGGGCCCAGCACAGTGGGTACACACCGCAGATTCAAATTAGACCTCGCCATCCCTGGGGGGCTGCGATCTTTGAAACTGTCGCCACTTTCGAGGGCTGCTGGGGGGCCCAGCACAGTGGGTACACACCGCAGATTCAAATTAGACCTCGCCATCCCTGGGGGGCTGCGATCTGTGAAACTGTCGCCACTTTCGAGGCCTGCTGGGGGGCCCAGCACAGTGGGTACACACGCAGACTCAAATTAGACCTCGCCATCCCTGGGGGGCTGCGATCTGTGAAACTGTCGCCACTTTCGAGGGCTGCTGGGGGGCCCAGCACAGTGACGCCACGCGCAGATTCAAATGAGACCTCGCCATCCCTGGGGGGCTGCGATCTGTGAAACTGTCGCCACTTTCGAGGCCTGCTGGGGGGCCCAGCACAGTGGGTACCACGGGCAGATTCAAATTAGACCTCGCCATCCCTGGGGGGCTGCGATCTGTGAAACTGTCGCCACTTTCGAGGGCTGCTGGGGGCCCAGCACAGTGGTACCCACGCCGGATTCAAATTAGACCTCGCCATCCCTGGGGGGCTGCGATCTGTGAAACTGTCGCCACTTTCGAGGCCTGCTGGGGGGCCCAGCACAGTGACACGCCAAATTAGACCTCGCCATCCTGGGGGGCAGCTGTGAACAAATTAGACCTCGCCATCCCTGGGGGGGGCTGCGATCTGTGAAACTGTCGCCACTTTCGAGGCCTGCTGGGGGGCCCAGCACAGTGACGCCACACGCAGATTCAAATTAGACCTCGCCATCCCTGGGGGGCTGCGATCTTTGAAACTGTCGCCACTTTCGAGGCCTGCTGGGGGGCCCAGCACTGTGCCGCCACGCGCGGACCCAAATTAGACCTCGCCATCCCTGGGGGGCTGCGATCTGAGATCCCCGCCTTCGAAGTGGCTAGGGTTGCTCAGGGATTGTAACTAATCAGCTGTATCTAGTCCTTGTCCTGTAGCCAGTGTCCTGCGACTGTCCCGAATTCCGTCTGCAGACATAATTAACCCTCGTTCTGTCATCGCCCCCTTTATAAAGTGTCCTAAACTATTTGCGCCCCGCGTTTGCGCAGGGGTTGGGTACGTCGCCAGGGTAAGTTTGTATTATTCCCAACCCTCCTTGGTTGGGTATTCGTTTTGAATAGAGCAGTGTGGTCTCCACTCCTTCCCGCCTCCCTCTTGCCTCCTCCTGTCTTGCTTGCGGGGGGCTGCGATCTGTGAAATTGTCGCCACTTTCGAGGCCTGCTGGCGGGCCCAGCACAGTGAGGCCACACGCAGACCCAAATTAGACCTCTACATTCCTGGGGGGGGCTGCGATCTGTGATACTGTGCCACTTTCGGGCCTGCTTGGGGGGGCGGCCCCGCACTGTTGACGCCACAGCAGATTCTCAAATTAGAAGCTCGCCATCCCTGGGGGCTGCGATCTGGTTGAAAACTGTCGCCACTTTCGAGGCCTGGTGGCGGGCCCAGTCAGTGAGGCCAAATGCAGATTCAAATTAGACTCGCCATCCCTGGGGGGGGTTCCGATCTTTTGTGAAATTGTCGCCACTTTCGAGGCCTGCTGGCGGGCCCAGCACAGTGAGGCCACACGCAGACCCAAATTAGACCTCGACATCCCTGGGGGGCTGCGATCTGTGAAACTGTCGCCACTTTCGAGGCCTGCTGGGGGGGCCCAGCACAGTGACGCCACACGCAGATTCAAATTAGACCTCGCCATCCCTGGGGGGCTGCGATCTGTGAAACTGTCGCCACTTTCGAGGCCTGCTAGACTGCTAGGGGGGCCCCCAGCTCCCACAGTGACGCACACGCAGATTCAAAATTAGACCTACCCAAATTAGACCTCGCCATCCCTGGGGGGCTGCGATCTGTGGAACTGTCGCAACTTTCGAGGCCTGCTGGGGGGCCCAGCACAGTGACAAATTAGACCTTGCCATCCCTGGGGGGCTGCGATCTGTGAAACTGTCGCCACTTTTGAGGCCTGCTGGGGGGCCCAGCACAGTGACGCCACGCGCAGACCCAAATTAGACCTCGCCATCCCTGGGTGGCTGCGATCTGTGAAACTGTCGCCCCTTCCTGAGGCCTGGGCTGGGAGGCCCAGCTCAGTGACGCCACACGCAGATTCCAAATTGACCCTCGCCATCCCTGGGGGGCTGCGATCTGTGAAACTGTCGCCACTTTCGAGGCCTGCTGGGGGGCCCAGCACAGTGACGCCACGGGCAGATTCAAACCAGACCTCGCCATCCATGGGGGGCTGCGATCTGTGAAACTGTCGCCACTTTCGAGGCCTGCCGGGGGGGGCCAGCACAGTGACGCCATACGCAGATTCAAATTAGACCTCGCCATCCCTGGGGGGCTGCGACCTGTGAAACTGTCGCTACTTTCGAGGCCTGCTGGGGGGCCCAGCACGGTGACGCCACGGGCGGATTCAAATTAGACCTCGCCATCCCTGGGGGGCTGCGATCTGTGAAACTGTCGCCACTTTCGAGGCCTGCTGGGTGGCCCAGCACAGTACGCAGCGCGGATCCAAATTAGACTCGCATCCTGGGGGGCTGCGATCTGTGAAACTGTCGCCACTTTCGAGGGCAGTGGGGGGCAGGGGCCCCAGTCACAGTGGAGCCCACGCAGATTCAAATTAGACCTCGCCATCCTGGGGGGGGCTGCGATCTGTGAAAACTGTCGCCACTTTCGAGGCTGCTGGGGGGCCTGACGGGTGACGCCCACGCAGATTCAAATTAGACCTCGCCATCCCTGGGGGGCTGCGATCTGTGAACCTGTCGCCACTTTCGAGGCCTGCTGGGGGTCCCAGCACAGTGGGTACTCACCGCGGATTCAAATTAGACCTCGCCATCCCTGGGGGGCTGCGATCTGTGAACCTGTCGCCACTTTCGAGGCCTGCTGGGGGGCCCAGCACAGTGACGCCACACGCAGATTCAAATTAGACCTCGCCATCCCTGGGGGGGCTGCGATCTGTGAAACTGTCGCCACTTTCGAGGCCTGCTGGGGGGCCCAGCACAGTGACGCGCTACGCGGATCCACAATAGACCTCGCCGCAGACTCAAGTTAGACCTCACCATCTCCCGGGGGCTGCGATATGAGATCCCCGCTTTCGAGGTGGCCAGGGGTGCTCAGGGATTGTAACTAATCAGCTTTATCTAGTCCTTGTCCTGTAGGCAGTGTCCTGCGAGTCTCCCGAATTCCGTCTGCAGACATATGCAACCATCGTTCCGTCATCGCCCCCCTTCTAAAGTGTCCTCAACTATTTGCGCCCCGCGTTTGCGCAGGGGTTGGGTACGTCGCCAGGGTAATTGTTTTGATTATTTGGGGTGTATGTTTCATTTTTCGTCGAAAATCCCCTTGTAGGGAGACAGGCCCGACTTAAGCGCTATCGCGAATAAGTAAGACTGGGGATCTATGTTGGGTGGGCAATGCAACCAGAGTACGGCGGATCCGAAGTCAGGGCGCCCCAGAGATCTGACTTTGCAAAAAGCTGCGCCATCGCAGAAAGAAGAACGGCCAGCGCCCTAGAACCCAGAACTACCCTTTCTGCGTCACTCTGCCAGCCGGATCGATCTGCGAGCGCCCCGGGGCCCGAAAATTCGGCGAAAACGCCCGTTGTGGAAAGAAGGCAACGCCAGGATCGCAGGGCGCTTCTGCTCTGAGAAGGCCGCGGCGCCCGAGACATCCCCCGGGGCCACCAGATCTCCAAGATCCCTGCCCTGGTCCATCCCCACCCGTCTCTGGACATGCGGCGTCCCGAGTTTCTCACGACGGCGCGCCCAGAAGTCCAGACCCTTTCCCCAGAGCCAGTCTTTCATCCTGAGTCGTTTTTTTACGGTCCCGGGGGCTGGCGAGGGCCCCCGGGGGCCGAAAATAGAGAATAGCCGCCCGCCCCTGATTCTTGTTCGTGCGACGCGGGCATGTCTGGGCTTGCACGGCCCCGTCCTGCGCCAGGCCTCCCCGCCGCGGCAGCCCGGGAGCCGCGTGCCCACGCCGGGCCGCGCCTCCACGCCCGGCCGCGGCGACGCCGCGGGGAAGGGCGGCGGAGCGCCGCCGGCGCCTCGGCCTGCGGGCCCAGAGGTCCTAAGTACCCCAAAAAGTACCGGACGAATCGAACCACAGGCAAAACATAGTTCATCCGCAAGAAACATAGGACTGGAACAAAAACGTAGTCTATCGACAAAAACCTAGTTCATCGAAAACACCATTTTGTATGTGTATATATATATGTATGTGGATGTATGCATATATGTAAGCATGCTTATAACTGCAAGTAGTGTACGTGTGTATGTGATGATGTATGGTTAAGACGTGGGCCATCCTCTCCCCCTCGTGCCTCTCATCCTCGTGCCATCCTCTCCACCTCGTGCCGCTCCTCAGGCGGGGGGGGGTCCCGCTGGCCGCGGGATCGGGCGACGAGATCTATGTATATCCACTGCTCTCTGGTCGGGCACTCCCTCCCGACCCGCCCAGGAAGGCCGCGCATGCATCGCTGCTGCAGCAGCGATGCATGCGCCGCGCCCTCCTGGGCCCATCGTGGACCTGACCAGGGAGAGGTGGATATATTATAGATTTCGTCGCCCTGGGGAGCGGCCCGCATGGCCGACGAGGTCGAGTGGGAGAATGGCGCAGCCGCCGTCGCCAAGGCGGGGTGGAGGAGGAGGAGGAGGTGGATGAAGAGAAGGAGAAGGAGGAGGAGGAGGGGGAGGAAGAGGAGGAGGGGGAGGGGGCAGAGGAGGAGGACGGAGGAGGAGGAGGACGAGGAGGACGGAGGAGGAGGACGAGGAGGACGAGGAGGAGGAGGGCAAGGAGGGCAGAGAAGAGGAACGCACGCCCAAGCCAACGCCAGGCCTTGCTCCCCCACTTCAGCAGCGACGGCGGCTTCTTCCCATACCCCAAGTCCATGAGCTGCAGCGGAGTTAACAGTACTATCCTGGCCGAGGACAGCAGGGGATCCCAGGGAATAGGTGTTTTTTGTGCGTGTTTCGTCGTGTTGTGTTTGGTCCCAAGGGGCCCTGGGGCCAGAGAAATCCCCTTGGGCCCTTGGGCAATGAAGGCTGGTGAGGTTAAGGGATATGATGGGGAAAGGTGTGTGCAGGGAGGAGGTGGCGAAGGGGGAGGGGGAGAAGAAAGATGAGGAGGGAGAGGAGGAGGCGGAGGAATACGCTGTTGAGAAGGAATGTGTTGCGTGACAGGGGCACGACATGGGTGAGGGGAGTACTCGGACATGTTGAACGATCTTATCGGCGTCGTCTTGCACAGGCGCCTGACCCAGAAGATGTGCTTCTCGGCTCTCAAACTCGTCCATGACTTGGAAGGTTATCAATTCTCTCTTCAACATGCGTCGTGCAACCGCGTTGCAATACGCATTCGCCCTTACACACACATCGACCACCGTGTGGGGGGGTTTGTTCTGGTGGGTGTTGGGAGTGGTTTTGTCTTGGTGTGTCTTTTCTTTTCTTTGTTTTTTTTTTTTTTTTTTTTATATATTTTTTCCTTTTCTTTTTTGTTTCTTTTTTCTTGTATATCTTTCTTTTTTTTTTGTTTTTTTTTTTTTTTGCCATTCCCCTCCCCCTCCCCCTCCATCCCCTCCCCCTCCCCCACCATTCTCCAAGCATGGGCCCTCCATCCCCTCCCCCTTCCGTCATGCCCTCCGAACGGCGGTGGGAGGTGCGAGACGGTTGGCAAAAAGTGTATTCCATGAGGCTGAGGACTGCGCTGAAGCACATTCGTGAAACAGGACTGCGGCGAGCGCCGTGCCCAGGGGGATGGGAGGGAGATCGGCGCAGGGCGTGGAGGAGTAGAGGGAAGAGGGATCTAATGAGTGGCGGGAGGATGGCGAGACGATGGGCAGAGAGTGGGAGGGTCGTGGGATGGGTGCGGGAGGGGAGGGAGAGAGAGAGAGAGAGAGAGAGAGAGAGAGAGAGAGAGAGAGAGAGAGAGAGAGAGAGAGAGAGAGAGAGAGAGAGAGAGAGCGGAAGAGAGGGGGGGGGAAGAGAGAGAGAGCGAGTAGAGAGCGAGAGAGAGAGAGAGAGAGAGAGCGTGAGAGAGAGGGACAGATCGAGAGAGAGAGAGAGAGAGAGAGAGAGAGAGAGAGAGAGCGATAGATAGAGAGATAGCGAACACGAGAGACAGATCGAAAGAGGAGGAAGAGTGAGAGCGAGAGCGAGAGAGGGTGAGAGAAAGTAAAACGTTTGAAACCGATCGAGAGGGATAGAGAGAGAGATCGATGGGGAGAGGGATAACGAAAACGGAAGAGCGCGAGGGAACCTGGGGGAGATAAAGAGAGAGAGAGAGAGAGAGAGAGAGAGAGAGAGAGAGAGCAAAGAGAGAGAGAGAGAGGGAGAGATAGAGATAGAGAGAGCGAGAGAGAGGCAGATAGAGAGACAAGGATGAGGGAGGGGGACACGAGGGAGAGTGATGGATGAGGGAGCGAGAGAGAGAAATAGATAGAGAGATTCGAGAGATCGATAGATCGGTAGATGAGAGAGAGAGAGAGAGACTGAAAGAGGGAGAGACAGATAGAGAACGATAGAGCAAGGGGAGAGAGAGCGAGGGGCACCCCTCACAGAAGGACGACGCCGACCGAACACTGCCTGGCTGGCACCGTTCAAAAAGAACCCGCGGAAAGCTGCCCGAGAACGGAGAGATGGCGCTGGCGATGGCGGAGCGGAAGAGAGCGAGGAGGAGGCGCAATATGATGAGGAGAACGGTGAAGAGGACCAGGAAGAAGGAGAGGAGGAGGAAGAGGGAGTGGCAGATGAAGAAGAGGAGGCGGAGGAGGAGGAGGAGGAGGAGGAGGAGGAGGACATCGACGACTGCGCGGAGGAGCCCGAGAAAGCAACAAAGAAACGCCCGCCTGCGTGCATAGGAGCGCCAGTGATGAAACGACCAGCCCTGATGAGACCAGCCGCGTACGACCAGCCAGCCCTGAAGAAACCAGCCGCAGCCGACGCCGAACCAGCGTGCCCACCACCGCTAGCGACTCCTCCACGCTCCACAGCCGTGGCCAAAGCTAGCCCACTCGAGTTCAGCGTGGTCCCAGATTCGCCGTATGAGCTGGCGGTGCAACGGCTGCAGGGCGGGTCGCAGCTGGCAGACGGCGCCAAAGTGAAAGCACCACCTACTACGAAGCCCCCGCCTCCAGCAACGCCACCTACTACGAAGATGCCTCCGCCTCCAGCAATCCCACCTACTGCGAAGTCGAGGCCTCCAGCCATCCCACCTACTACGAAGTCGGAGCCTCCAGCAAGCTCGGGTGCACATGGGCCGCCGACTGCAACGAAGGCTTCGCCGCCGATGCCGTCCAGCGCCAGTTCGGAGTGGCAGGTCAAGTTTGACAACCAAAAGAAGGAGGCCAGCTTGCGTCTGAAGGTGGCGAAAAAGAGGTGGGGGCCGCCCGAGTACAGCCATGAGTTCTTCGAACATGAGGGTAAAGTGAAGTGCAAGTTCGACTCAGGCACGTACGAGATCCCAGAGTTGACCCCCGCCGACTTGCCCGTGATCGTTCGCGCCAGGGAGGAAGCACTTGCTCGTCGGAGGGGGCCGCTCTGGAAGTACTTGTGGGGGGGGGGACATGCTCAAGATCAGCCGCCTGAAGGACAGGCACCCCATGTTGCAGCTCTCCCAGAACTCGAAATCCGCGTGCCAGGTTGTCTTGCGCGGGATCACAGAGCCCGACGCGCTGACGGTTCTCATCTCGGTGGCGGACGGTTGGATCGCAGGACGGGGGGGAAGTGCTGCACTGACGTACGAAGGTGGAGGGTTGTCGGCCTTGCAGATGCATGATGGCGTGTCCGTCAATCGCTGCTAGACCAACTCAGCCTGAGCCATAAAAGCCAAAATGGCCACGAGTGTTGTAGGGGATGAGGAGGGGGAGAAGGAGGAGGAGGAGGAGGAGCGGAGGTTGGGCAGGCAAGTACAGCAAGGAGGACCTCTACACGGAGCGTGACAAGCTCCTGTAAGGCGGGGCAATGGGGGGTGGCCGTGCATGTTGCATGTCATCTGCAACGGCACGGGCGGGATGCGGGGGAGAAGCGCGGGCGCGAGAGATGGCGGAGTAGGAACGGAGCGCAGTGCAACGCATGTGCACCACGGCGGCGGAGGAGGGGGGGAAAGAAAGGGGCAGGCTACAAGAAGGACGATGACACAGACTGAGCTGGGCTACGACTCGAGTTGAGTTGGGCCATTACGTACGTATCTTATTTGGGATGGTGCATATTACTATTCCAGTTCAGCTGCGAATTGTACGCTCTGTACCTGTGCTGCGCACGTTCGCTTGAAAGTGTTTCGCCAGTAGCGCAGTGCATGTGATGGGTTGACAGCCGCAACGTTGGTCGTACTCATCCAAACTCATCCGCCCCTCATCGGTCGAGATGAGTCGGGATGAGTTGCATGTGCTTGCATGTTGTGCGCGGTTGATGTGACATCGCAAAGCGCTGAACTAAGGGCCACATTGAGCTGTGTGGGTTGGGTGGGTGGTGGCTGGGTTGCGGGATAGGAAGGTTGATTTAGATTGTTTCTTGTTGTTGTTTTTTTATATCTTATTGTTTTTTGTTTTTTTTTTATTTTTTTTGTTTCTTTTCTGTTATTTTTTTTTATTTTTTTTTCTTTTTTTTTTTTTGTTTTTTTGTATTTTGTTTTTTTTTTCTTTTTTTTTTTTATTTTTTCTTTTTTTATGTTCTTTTTTTTTTTTGTTTTTCTTTCTCGAAGGGGCTCTGGTGTTCGTGCGTTTCCGTCGAGGGTATGTGCCAGATACGTGGCCGAAGCTCGCCGAGTCTGGACACACCTCTTAGTTCCTTATGTGCCACTCGGGATGGTAGCACGAGTCGAACTGCCCTGCGACAATTGAATAGCAATGATAAGTGGAGGACAGGGTTCGGGACGACTGATGATGAGAGGGACACGCAATGTGAAGGAGGAGGGGCTTGGGGGAGGGGAACGGTGGCGAGGAGGAGAGGGATGAGCGATGCACATCGCAGCTTGCATGGCAGCCTGCTACCCTCGAGCAGCGAAGGGTGGCAAGCCGCATCTTCCGTGGGGGGGCGGTTGCAATGGCGGCCAGCGATGACGGG